TGCATCTTTTACCCATCTACAACTTCATGTTATGAAAACATTATAGTTTGTCCGTAAATTGGCGCCATTTTGACTTTCGAGCGCGCTACTTAGGAAACGAAAACAAAACAAAACAAAAGTTAAGTTAGTATAAATAAATCAGGCAAGGTCATGTTCTGCTCGAATTGCGGAAAGGAAAAGGAGATAAGTAACAACTTTTGTCCTCATTGTGGACAAGGTAAGTTCTAAATATCGATACTTATTGGCGAAATATGTAAATAGTATTATGTGATGTCGATTCATCTTTCATGCATATTCATGAAAGGACAGTGTCAGTGGTCATATTTTTATTTGACATGTTATTTGACAAATTTTTACTGTCCATCTAGCCGTTCGTGTTGAACATAAAAACCCACACAAAAACTAGATGAGTAAATATGTTAGCAACTAAAACAGGGCCTGTTTAGCCAGTTTGTTAGGGATTTGAGCAATAGGCATATAAAAGTACTGTGAGGGGGGGGGGCTGGAAATAATCTGTAAAGGTTAGGCGGTTAGCAATAATTCCTTGTGGCCCACCCCCAAAACTTTGCTCAAAATACAAATGACCCAGATTTAATTACTAGTTACAGTCAAACCACGGGCGGCCCAATCTCGCAAGGGTCAGTATAGACTTTATACCATATTCTGTGCTTTATACAGTATAAATTTATATTATATTATATTAATTGTATATTATAGTAAAAATATGTCATAAAATATAAATTTTAAAATGAAATTGACTTGCCTATTTGCTAGTGTGTGTTCTCCTTTTATTCCTCCTTTGTTGGACTAATATTTTCCGAGACTTTGTACTCGATGTTACTAGTATACATGAAACATGATAAAGGCTAACCATTCCCGATCGTCGATACGACGGCACGGCACTTCGAATCGAAAATTCTCACACTCAAATCGCTTTATTCTCAAAAACAATTCGCCAGCATGTACAACAAATGCCGTTCTTCGAAAATACAGAGGTATTTCGGCGAGATGTACAAGTTTTGGACCATATTTTAACAATGGAAATCAAAACCCATTTTATATTGAACTTGCCCAGGCCGAAAATTACTACGGCGAACGTCTGCGCAACCAGGCCTTCTTTACCGTTAGATTTACCAGGGGGGGAGCAGATATTTCCGGTAACAGCCAGCCAATCGCGGCCGCGATACCGACTATTTACATTATTTGAAATTTGATATTCAAAATAAAAACTCCTTCGATCGGATACTGTATAAAACTCGAGATGTTGTCGAAGAAAAGAAAACTAAACGACGGAGATTGAAGAAATTTAAGGAAGAAGTAATATACAGCGGCTCTTTGTTGGAAAGCATGGTAGAATATGATACTTTAATTCGAAATATTATCGTGAATATATTAGTGGCATCCTCCCCCCTGTAAATCCAACGGTAAAGAAGGCCTGGTTGCACAGACGTTCGCCGTAGTAATTTTTGGCCTGGGCAAGTTCAATATAAAATGGGTTTTGATTTCCATTGTTAAAATATGGTCGAAAACTTGTACATCTCGCCGAAGTACCTCCGTATTTTCGAAGAACGGCATTTGTTGTACATGCTGGCAAATTTTTTTGGAGAATAAAGCGATATGAGTGTGAAAATTTTCGATTCGAAGTTGCCGTGCCGTCGGATCGACGATCGGGAATGGTTAGCCTTTATCATGTTTCATGTATACTAGTAACATCGAGTACAAAGTCTCGGAAAATATTAGTCCAACAAAGGAGGAATAAAAGGAGAACACACACTATCAAATAGGTAAGTCAATTTCATTTTAAAATTTATATTTTACGACATATTTTTACTATAATATACATTAATATAATATACATTTATACTACAGTATAAGTCTATACTGACCCTTGCGAGATTGGGCCGCCTGTGATTTCTTGTACGAAAGTGTTCAATATATAATGCATCCTACACGTTTGGTGCTTGGTGAAAAACAGGGAGATGTTATGCCTTGAAGGTACAAAGAAATATGTGTATTAGATATATATATTTCATTACACCATTACTGGTACATAGGATACACCATAATATATAAACAGATACATATACAAACAATAGAACTATAGCTAATCCTTAATTACAGACAGTACAGTCAGAGAAAATCTTAGTTAACTCGTAAATATATCTGGCTGTACAACTTTTTAAACTAACCAGTGTATTCTGGAACTTTCCGATTCATTACAGTTCTGACTCGCGCGTCCCACGTGTGAACAAAACATTATTTTATACTAAATATATTGATTATTAACATTTTCCGGCAATTAATTCGTTTGTTATATAATATGACATTTTGTTGACAGGAGAGTCGAAAATTTATTTATTAAAAGAACATGCCCATGTGTAAAACAAAATTCCAGACAATCGCACGACACTACAATATCGTGACAATACAATTGCGTCGGCTGTCGGGCGAACAACGAATAACTTATAAAGCTACAACCCTCGCAGACAGAAAGTAAAAGCCCCCCCCCCCCGTATGGCAGCAACTCGGAAAAAATTTGACTAAAAGCGGTTTTCCAGTCCTCGCAGCTCGCTGCGAGTGCTTGCATCTAATTAAAATTAACGGTTTAGCATTGTGATTGGATGAAAGTGCTCATGCATCACTCGCAGCGAGCTGCGAGGAGCTTCGTGCGAGGACTGGAAATCCGCCTAAAATCCGCGGAAAAACGCCCGAAATTCCTAGATCCGCCCCTGCGGCAAACGTCCGGATAACTTTGAATTTTCAGAAAATTTTTTTCGCAGTCATGACGGCAGAGGAAAAATATTAAAAGTCATAAAAGCACAGGCAAATGGGACCATTTGTTCTGGAATGACGGATAAATATTTATAGGGGTGCGCTCATTGTGGGCACCCCCGGTACAAATAGGGTTAATTTAAAGGTTATCCTACGGATAGTTAAACGCGGTTCTAAACGGGCTTCGTGCGACGCAATTTTATCGGTATATCCATGTATATGAGTATAACCATGGATTGTAAAATAACTGGATAGGAAACTTCCTAACGTCACAGTCTAAACTTAGTTGCAATCTGTGACGTCACGCGTATTGCCAAAGTTCTCAGCATTTTTGTTGTTTCGCTATATTTTCCTGTTTAAAAGAGTAATATTGAAGCATAAACTGGTATAATTGTTTTAAAAACATGCCTAAGCTACGACAAAGTATTCAAGGTAAATGTTTTTCGTCTTTGTTTTGTATTTTATTTACATTTGTAGCTACGAAAGTCGCCAATTTTAACGAAATTTGCGATGCATTTTTCACTGTTTAGTGCTTGAAATATTTGCTAAAATTTACTGGGAATACTTAGAGATTTCATCCTAGAATGGCCTAGTTACTGTATATTTATTTGCTCTTTGACTAAAATGTTTAGCTGTATTATTGCTAAACATGCTATTTTTGAGACTTTGGTTTGCAACTAGGTTTCAACGCCATCATCCCATTGAAAACATTAGCCATTAGCTATCCATGTATTTTATTATCCATGGTATATAACTAACAGGTGGATGGGGAATATATACGCCGGATGGCGGCTAAGCGCCGTTTCAAGCCCGTTCTCCACTAGGCGAATTTGTTCGCGCGAACAGTAAAGATCCAGACACCGGTAAAGGTCCAACAGTAAAGGTCCAGACACGCGACGCAATTTTTTAGTTTCTGAAAGTTAATAAAACAGCCAATGAGTGCAAATTTTGAAAGATATGTAGACCAAATAACTCAAAATGTTAAACCGCTTCAAAGTATTTGGAAAATTTAAACTAGAATCAAAGTTATCGGTCAGTGAAAATCGAAAAATCGCGTCGCGCTGTCGAATCGCGTCTGGTGTGTCTGGACCTTAAAAAAGTCGGAACTGATCCAACTTTTTCGCGCCGAATTTTTCGCTGACCAATCACATTGCCAAGATTTGTTTTTCGCTTCGCGTCGCGCGAAAAAATTCGTGCTTAAGTTAAACGATTTTCGAACAATCGACCACAGCGCTCAAATATATCCAAATTATCTGGAGTATCTTGGGAAATCAGATACGTTCCTTGGCTTAACTCTAGCAGCCTTCCAAACAGCAACCGTGCTCTTGGCACCATTTTTCGGAATATTTGCGGTGAAGTTTGAAGCTTTGAAGGCAATCCTTCTCGTGTGTTGTCTAACAAAGTTTTTGGGGGATTTACTGTATTCAATTCCTATCAACGGATATTTCCCTTTGTTAGGAAGATTCATGAGTGGGATAGGTGAAGCTACTATAGGTGTTCTTTACGGAGCCGTGATAAAATGCACCACAAATAAGAATCGTGCGAAAGCTTTTCTATATTTTGAAGGTCTCTTTAGTCTTGGTACAATATTGGGACCTACGATCGGCAGTCTTCTCATATTCAACGTGACTATACTTGGTTGGAAAATCAACGCGGGAAATTCACCAGGGGTAGTACTGGCAATTGTTTGGTTCTTTTTGCTCGTCCTAACAATATTTTTGCCAAGTAATTTGGCTGAAAACTCGAAAGGAAATCAGTTCGATTCAGCCACTGACAGTGACGAAAACAATAACGACGAAACTGTTGAGACAGAAGACAACACCAATTGTATTTTCTCGAGCGTGTGTTGCATATATTATCTCGTGTTTCTGCATGTGGTTGTCACGGCTGTGATTTTATTCTACACTCCATTGCTAGCTGCACACCACCTTGGACTGAGACTCACTCACGTGAAGTTAATTTACGTAAACAATTCATTGGCTGTCTTCATTTTATTCATTGCTTCGTATCTCATACTGGACAAAGTCAGCGAAAAGAAGTGCCTTTTTGTCATAATTGTTTCAGCAATCGTTCCGATATCAATCACTTTTTATTTTGCTATTATGTGGAACGAAGCGATCACCATTAACGCGGCCTATCTGCTCCTTATTTCCATGGTCATTGCAAGTGCTGAAATTATGAGCTTCTCCTTAACCTGTTCGATGTTGTCAAAAATAACGCCGGCGAATATAGTGCCACGTTTTATCAAAGTCTGGGATTTGCTAGCTTAAATCTCGGCGTAATTGTTGCACGTGTACTGGCTGGTGCTACATTTAGCAAAATACCAATGATGTACAATTGTCTTGGTCTAGCAATGGCCTGGGCATTTGGAGTTATATGGATGGCTGCTGAATACAAAAACTTTCCACCAAAACCATCAGTTAATAAATGAATCTTATTTCGCGATAATGTTTTACAAGTTTATATTTCGGATCAGACTGTTAACGTTGGCTGTCATAATTTTACATGATGGGCTAAGAACATTGACAGGGACACTATTTATAATATAAGTAAGAACTGAAAATTCTGTTAGATTATTAATGGCTATGTGATGAATTAGAATGTATGAGCGTCAATTTTGAATTCCCAAAGCATCTCAAGAACAGAATTTCCCTTATTCTGATGCGAGTTGTGATGAAAACTGCAATGGCAAAAAAGTATTTTATCCTTATTCAAGATATTGCATGCAGTTCCTTCCCACTTTTTGCCCGGGTTTCAATTTTCCACTTGAAGTACCGTATATAATATAATAGTCTAACAGTTGTAAACGTCGTATTTGTATGGTTTATGTCATTTATGCATGAACAGATGCCAAGATGTTAATCTATTCTGATGCTTCTTCTTTCAATTTATGTCAGTTTTGGTAACACATAGTTCGTTACTGTGGCAACACAGAACTCTAAAATAGCTTACTGCTTTGTGCAGTTGGGAAAAAAGTACGGCAACTATATTTTTTAGACGTCAACTATATTTCTTTCAAGATAGACTAACACAATAATAAAATAATTCTGTAATGCCACTTTTTTATTAATATTAAACGCAAGGATGTCGTTTTTCGATAAAATGTTCCGGACAATACAGTGTGCAAAACTTCAACATAGCTCACCGCACGAAATAATGAGATATGGCATACTGTTTTTTCGAAAATTGACTATCTAACGACGTCAGCAAATGAGATGCGTGCGTTATAAAACACGTACTGACAATGGCGCAAGATGGCGTGAGCAAATCGCCATGTCAGACCCAGGGCCGTAGCGAGGGGGTATTGGGAGGGGGGAGGGGATTACCCCAACTTTCTTAGAATTAACATACTCGGAAAATCGGATTGGCCACTCAAAAAATTACAGCAACCTATAACAAAATTTTAGTTGTTAAACAGAGAAAATATAATATAATATAACTGTCATTATAAAGTGATTTACGAAATCATGGCGTTTACATGGATAACATTTAACAAATCGTAAATCGGTAATGTTTTTCGGTTTATTACGTCTCAGGGCCGTAGCAACCGTGGGAGAGGGGGGAGGGCTTGGGGGGCTGCAGCCCTCCCAATAATTTGCTAATAATCATTCTTTTTTCAAAATCATGCAGATCTTTATCATTTAAATAATTTACCTTTAAAATACTGACAATTGATTATTTTTAAGCGGCTACATTATTCAGTGACAAACTGCAAAGAATCATATGTATTACCCATACTTTCCTGCAAGTTCTCCAATATATAGTTAATTAAATACACCTTCGCCCATTTAGTACTACTAAATTGTAAACAAATTGGAAATTTCGACAAACTAAAACATTGTTTTCTGACCATCATAATTCTGTCAAAACTTTCCCAAAGTCCAGGAAATGGCATTTCAGAGACTCTAAATTTAAAAATTTCCTCGGGCTTTAATTCGGCCCTCGTTTTCAGCCCCCAATAAAAAGGAGCTTCCTACGGCACTGCATGCTTCTGTAATATGTCTGTGCGTAAAATATGCGTATTTTTGTTTGTAAATTGCGTCTTCATATTCTCAAACACCTTCGTTGCTTCATATGCCATAAAATATTCGGAATATTTTTTCGTAATTCGGAAATTTTGGGCCTACACCCCCGCCCCAACTATACATGCTAGCTATGGCCCTGGTCAGACCATACATTTATGTGCTTCAGTTAATATTCCAGGACAGGAGAATATTCACGTCTGTTTCAGTGACTTTTTTAACTATATATCGGGGGGGGGGGGGGCAATTGCCCCCCCGCAGGGAAAGAATTCCCCTCCCACCAGTAAAGCCATTTCTGCCCCCGAAGTGCGAAGCAGAATTGCTCATGATTGCTGTCAGAATTGCAGTTGATTTACTTGATGAGATTATGCCCTTCCATAGCCTCCTCCACAGCCTCCTACACAGCCATCTTGTGTGTAATTCATATTGTTCTTCACCATGTATTTCATAATAGCGATAGATTTCATGCAAACAATCCAATAAAATGTTAGCCTTTCCAAGCCTTGCGACTATTTAGCACTCTCCTCCACAGAGCCGTTGTGTTGTTTTGGGAGGTTTCATAGCAAAATTTTTTTCTCAAAAATATCAAATTATATTAAGAGCCCCCCCCCCCCCCCCCCACTCGCCACCCCC